TTGTATGGATATGAGGATGATCAGGATCCTGTTCCGTCAAGTCTCGCACTGGTTTTGTTTTGACTTTGTTTGGGTGCCCTATCATTTGGTCCAGCAAACTGCAGACTGACATTACTTTGAGCTCCACTGCTGCTGAGTATGTTGCCTTCAGCATGTCAATGAGGGAGCTGCTTCCTATGCGAGCCTTGCTCAAAGAAATTGGTAACAAACTGAACATGCCCGTAATTACTGACAGTCTCGTGCGCTCTACAGTGTTCGAAGACAACCAAGGTTGCCTGTCTCTTGTGAATGTTCCCAAGATGTCAGCCCGCAACAAGTATTTGGCATTAAAGTACCACTTCTTTAGGTCAAATATCGGGGAGTCAAAGGGCATCGTGGCCAAGTACATTCCGACTCTGGAACAACGGGCTGACATTTTCACTAAGGGTCTTCCGGCTCCACAGTTTGCGGTCATTCGAAAGCTCCTCATGGGGTGGTAATTTACCTCAGCACTTTGCTGGGGACTCTCTCCTATCGTTTCTTGCGACAGCTTCATTTCAGCTGTAAGGGAGTGCGACGGGATACAGCTTACAATTCAGCTTTACAGCTTTACTATCTGCAGGCTTATTCTAGAAAATAATCAATAACTGCTCACTTATTTGGAAATACAAACTTTACATCTCTTAGATCCTTAGACTAGTCAATGCACAATGGTATTGTCGCAACCCTGTATGAATCATCCAGTCTGAGAAGTTCTCTGTTATAGAACTCAGGGGCAATCACAACAATCTTCAATTCTGCAGGAACATAGAACTGATTCCTTGCAGCTTTCATGGTGTATTGATCCCAGAATTTACTGATCCTGCAATCCCTGGCTCTCTCACATGGATGAGAGATAAAGTGTGGATTTTCTGGAAGGACCTTTCTCAATTCAGATGCACTGCGAATATGAATCCTTGCTTTCTTTGATTGCTTCTTGTCTTGGTCGTACCTATAAGGGAAGCCTGATTCATCCACAAGCCAAAGCTTCTTGTCGAACTCTCGCAGGTACTGTTGGATTGGATGAAGGCCATCTTTCTTGGCTACTTGTGGCTGCTGCTGCTGCCCACGAAATATTGGGAAGACGGATGGTGCAGGGGTAGACATGTTGCCTCAATAACAACAACAACAACAACAACAACAACAACAACAACAACAACAACACCGACAAACAACCTCTTCAATAGCAACAACCTCTTCAATAGCAACAACCTCTTCAATGCCTCTTCAATGCCTAGCTAGCTCTAGAGGCACTCTGTAGAGGTGCGACGATAGACGATCGATAGAGGTACGTCGATAGAGGTACGTCGATAGAGGTACGTCGATAGAGGTACGTACGTACGCACGATTCGATTCGACTCATTCGATTCGACTCATTCGATTCGAATGACGTCAGTCGCGCGCACTGCGCACGATTCGACTCATTCGATTCGATCGCTGACGTCAGTACGTGCAAACGTGTAGAGGGCTACCTACCTATTGCACGTAGGATTCCTATACGGCTGTAGAAGCCTACGTGCAATGTACATACCTTTTGCACGTAGGCTTTCTACAGCCGTGTAGGATTTGTACTTGCACGGTACAGAGGTAGTATAGTACTGTATTTTCTATAGTATTCTGCGAAAAATCGTGGACCACAACTTTTTCTTTTCGGAAGAAGAGAAACATGACAATGAGGAAAAGAGCGGCAAATGAGCCACCGACGTCCCTCACAACAGTGTTGAGAGCCTTCCAACATGACCGATACTCGCAAGAAGTGGGTGGTGTGTGCTGGGCCCAAGCAAAGCACGTTAGCCGTGATGCAGGTCGAATTTTTGGAGCTGCCGCTTCTGAAACTTGGTTGATGGGGCGAGTGCTGGAAGTCCAGTTGAGAAAGAAGACACCGGATGCCAAGCGAGGAACTAACTACGTGAGAGCTCTCTACCCTGTCGGGAACCATGCGAAAGAGGCATGGGTCCATCTTGGAAGTCTCAAAGCAACCAATCCAAACGCAAATCCGTCCAGCGTGGAAGGTCAACAACAACAACAACAGCCACACCACCAACGACCAAACAACCACTACCGACACGACGGAGGAC